GCCCCCCCCCCCCCCCTCCCCTCCCTGTTTTCCGAGGAGACGGAACACCGCCTTTGCCCCTGGATGATGATCATATCGTCTCTTTTGACGATGCCTATGTCTCACCTATTGTGTGATGTTGCGGTGGTTTGTGGTAGTATAGCGCAGAATATTATTTTTTGCGAGACGTATCGGCACCGGACAACTCCAGCTGTGTTGTGCCCCGCGCGTGGTTGCAAAACCTAAATTACGGCATCGACCGTGCTACCCTGCTGACCAAATGGAAGAGCATCAGCGTACGTACGCGATTTTTTTCTCGGAAAAAGAGATGTTATTGATGTTGATACACGCTGAGCGCGGGGGTGGAAGCAAGTGTAGGTGCGCTTAAGAAGTTGAGCACGGGTGAAGTGATGGCTCGCACAGTTAAGTTAAGCTCCATGTATTTTCATCTTCACCTTTGCCGCGGGTGCCCAGGAAAAAAACAGAGGTTCGAGCCGCATGGGCACACACGCGGCTAGTCTGGAACACAGCAGCATCGGCCCAACCGTGCATTCGTTGCACAGCCTAAGCTTCAGCAGGAGAGGGCGTACAATAGCCTCCTGTCGAGAAACACTTCAGCGTGCGTTACACGCGACACCGATCGCATCGCATGAACACAGAAGTACACGAAACACACCCAACCCACCTCTGCTTGTTGTGGCAACGGCTACCTCCGTCGAACAGCATTACCCGGTTCCGTCCTCGCCCCGGCAGGCCGCGGCCGCCCGTTCCCCACCCTCTCCACCGACCCAGGCTGTGCTTGTCCTGCTTAGCATCCTTGAAGGGGCACAGGCTGTAGAGGTAGCCCTTCGCTCGAAAGACACACCGACACCGCAGGTACGAGCACATGTGCAGGCACGAAGAGGGCGTGTAAGGGAGGGAGAGGGACGAGGGGGCGGCTCCGAGCAAAACGTGACATGCAGCGGCAAAGTCGTGCGAGACGGTTTCCACGAGAACCCCATCCCTCAGCGGGGGGTACAGCAACAGCGGGTGAGTGGTTGGAACCGACAATTGGAGGTTGTCAGAACAAAATGAATGTGGTCTCTTGGAGGTACCAACTGCGAGATACAACTAGTTCGGCCCATCTACCATAGCTGTGCACCAACAGGCGCGATACGGCCGCGCCCACAATACGTGACCAGCTACATTTTACTTTTCCGCTCCATGTACGCCCGCGTACACGTGCCACAAGTCGAAAAGCTTGCCGAAAGGGGTTACGCTACCTTCCTATAGTACCAATAGTTCGAGAACGCATGCCTGCCGGCCGAGGGAGGGAGGGAGGGAGGGAGGGGGGGAGGGGTCCAAGCAGCTCTTGTTTCATGAAACCGTTCTCCGCAAAACCACCTCCTATCTACCTTTCCTCGCCCACGCGGAAATGTAAGGGAGCACTGCTGTTGACCTCGTTATCACCGGTGTGTACACGACGCTCACGAGCATCGCGGTTGAGCCATCGACTGGTTACCCCGTGGTGTACGGCAGTCTCGCGACTCCCACCCGCCGTGGGCACACGCGTGCCTGCCCTGCTATAAAACCCCGACGCCCCGCGCTTGTCTTGGCGCACTTCGATGCCTACAATGTGGAATGACCCAACCGGGGTAACATAGGAGGGGGGGTTGGACCCCCTCCTGCGGTTCCTGCCTGAGATATTGTTATCGCGACAAGGGTACAGCAATCCCTTCCCTCGCGACTTATGAAGTCGATTATGGTTTACTAACAACGAGCTTTGCATCGCGTCGCTTCCAACGGGAACCAGGATTTAGTTGGCGAGAAAAAACTCAATCTGTCGGGACTCGAACCCATGACCTGGCCCATAGCAGGCTGCGAGGCTACCCACTAGACCACCGGGGCGACCGGTATTATGCCCGCGCGACTCCACGCACCCCGGAAAACCGTTTAGTCATACCCGTGTCCATCACCACCAATTCAACCGTTCCTGGAGATCCAGAGTATTTCCATACCCCCGTTTCCAACATAAACACTCACCCCTTCCTCAAGATCAAGACATTTTCCCGCCAACGCTGCGAACCTCGAGCCCTCCCCAAGGTCAAGCCCGGACAAGCGCTTCGCTTCCGACTCTTCTCGTCGCCGCTTCCCCCGTCCCCCCCCTCCGGCGGTGTCGGGCTTTCTCTCCTGCAGTATCGCCCTGGCGCGCGCTATTCCCTCGCGTAACATGGCCGCCTGTTATTGAGGCGAGGATGATCGAACGGTGAGGACCACATTCGATTCACCGGGGGGGGGGGGCTCTCGTTAGGCTTATATTGCTCACATGGCGGCAGTCGCGGGAGAGACAAGGCAAAACATTCCCCTCCGAGACGGACAGGGTACCGGGGCTCCACCCCTATGCTAAATACGAGATTCAGGACTCGCGTCACCCCCTGGAGAACTTGACTGCTGCTTGTTCGAACCTTCCTCTGCAGCCCGTGCCAGATCACCACCATCCTCGTTTCTAGTTCACCTCGATCTGGAACGGTTTCGAATTTCGAAAGGCAGACCCCCACGCCACCTACACTTCCAGAAGAGAAATTTCGAGCCGCGCCACCTCTACAGCTGTGAGAACAAGCCCTGCACACCAGGGTAGGCATGCTTCCCAAAACTAACGAACGTTCTCGAAGGAAAGAGGGCAGCTTACTATGCTCTGAGGAGGTAGAGTAGCATAGCCCTTTTCGAGCACTTCTTCCGTTGGCAGTTCGTTTCTGACGGCTCTCGGCCACAAATACACCTAACACACACACGGGCGTCTTCGTCGTTTAGCCACACTATGAAAACACACCACACCTCCTGCATCCAACTTCAAACCTCGACTGCTCCACGACGAACAGGGTGCCGAAAACAAACGGTACGCGCATCTATCAAACGTTTTCGGAAAGCTCTCGACGAAACAACGGTTCCTATACACCCATTGTCGGCACACCGTCACTGCTTGTCGCTTCAGAGTACTCAAGTCGAGCGTTGAAGTATCGGTCTACGGTACCAGGCTGGCCTTGCTAGTCCGGCGTCTGGTGTCTTTCTAAGCGCTTGCTCATCAACGCGATCGGTGTCATGTCAACAAGCACACGGTCGTATGCATGGCAGCAACAACACTACCCCCCTTGACTTCGGCAAGAACTGAAGCCGTAGGGAGGGTGTCCAAGCGCAATGCCAAACCCTCCCGACGGCCCATAAGTGGAAATCCCAACATGGCACAATTTCAAGATGAGCACCAAATTACATGTCAGCTCCCCCTCCCTCCCCCCCCCCCCCCACCGCAGCGTTACCTCTGGCCTCTCGTACTCGTCGTCTCGGTACGGAAAACAGAAGTCCCACAAAGCGACGGGAGCGTCCCACATCACCAGCAAGAACTTCCCGTTTCCGTGCAAGAACTCGTCCCAGCGGAGAACGACGGAGCGCAGGGTCGGGTACCTGTTTGCGGCAGGACACGACGAAGGCAAGGGAGTTCAGCGCCGAAAGGGCATGTGGGAGGGGGCGGCTACACGTGCATTAAGAACCGTTGCTGGAGCAATTCGTGTCCTACACGTGGGTGCTCCTCGCGCGATCGGTATACGTAGCACACGAGCGGCTTTGACGCTCTTTCCTCTTGAGGAAGGGGGGTCGGGAGACATTGAATCGATCATATACGGAGGCAAAACCTCATCGCTTCATTCTAAATACAATTAGCAGATTACAGTAGCGCTGATCCCCCCCCCCCCCC